CTTCCAATGTCATTGTGGCATGAATTTTATTCATTAAGGCCAAATCATAATGCAATCTGAAGCAGAGATCCCATCTCTTAAGACACCACATATCTACTACATTCACAAACAGCCACCTTTGATAGCGTATGTCATGGTGACCCATGTTCACTGGAGTTTGCACAGGCAAAAATAAAATAAAATAAGACATTTAATTTTAATTCTGTAGCTGGGTTGCTGGCTTCTTGTTTGATTTTATGTCTCTTCTGTGTTTCTTTAGGAGGGACACATGGGGTGAATATTTGGTAAATGTGCCAACAACTTGGTGTGTCTAAACCAAGTTCCAAATGTCCTCTCCAAAAATGGGACTGAAGGAAATGCAACTCAGCCTCTATTATAGGTCAAAAACGTACAAGTGCTTGGGAGTTCTATTGCTACAGGCACAACACTGGTGAAATACAAGTATCAATATAATTACAGTCAGTATTTCCTAGCTGTTACCTGGCCTTATCATTCATGCAATAATTGACAAACTTTCCAAACGATTCTGCTTGGAACCAGCTGTTTGGGAGCTGGTGGCTAAACTCTATGGAAGGATTAATTTGGGGAGGGGGGAGAAAGTGACAGTGTAACAATGGTATAGAAAACTTCTAATGCAGACGTGGGTTAGAAGTTCTCAGATGCAACAGAGGGAAAGGAGAACGAGCTAAAACCACCTATAACATTCAACTGCTAGTACTGACAATCTTTCCCCTTCGTTTTTCTCTTAGCCCAGAGGGTTCTCGAATGGCCAAACTGAATGGTAATTCACAAGGAATGCAGACTAACCTCTCTAACAGTTGCTCCAACTGACCACAAAAGAGCTTTCAAGTATTTAAAACATCAAACTTTGCCACAATTGTTTTCAAATGTTCACTTTCCTGACAACCAGCACCTACACTGGCTCGGTAGGATTCAGAAGATCCCTCGGCTGGAGCTATTTCTAGAAAAACTCATTCCAAGTAGTGTGTTCCAGAAAGAAAAGATACAGACTGAACTTATTAATGCCAACAGGTCAACAGCAAGTTTGATTAACTTTTAAATCAGGCAACTTCTAAGCTGCAGAAACCATATGCAGAACGACCAGGATGGAACCAGGAAGTGCTCGAGAACTTACCTGCCGTCCACAAAGGAAGCTGACCAACTTAAACAGACTTCATCATGGGGCTGCCACAAGCCAGAATGATCTAAACAGAACCAATCCGGTAAACTAACACTAATTTCCGTTTTTTAAAAAACAGGCTCTACATTTGGCTACCTAAATTTTTCAGAAAAATCGCTTAGATGGAAGAAGCAGGGAGACACATCAACACCAATGTGCTTTTAAAATGAACTGAAGTGGTTTTAAAGAGAGGTGGAGCAACATTTTGAAGGAGGAGGGAGACCTCGGCATTGGCAGAAGCACAAATCACAGGAATACAAAAAGAGCATTTAGAAGCTGGAAACTTCCTAAAAGAAACCAGGAAAAGGGGGCAGAAAAAAGCAACAGTAGAAACATGAAATCAGGAACTTTGAAACAAACAATAGCGTGCCTTTTCAGCACTGATTTCTACAATAATCTTCTACAATACCCTAATCTTTCCCCAAGATTTTAAGTTGTTATATTTGAAAACAGGCAAATGAACAGACCCAGGGAGACTATGTACCAGCACGTGAATCAGACTCGAGGCAAGGCACCAACAAATACAGGTTTCAGATTGGCACTCAAGAAAATGAAAATGGCCAAGTTCTGGTGAACAGCAAAGGAAGAACAATTTTACTGAGCCTGTAAGCCCATTTTATTCCATTTCTATTTGTCCCCAAGAAACTCATCAGTTTCATATAATGATTCTGAGTGTTATATGTTGCTGTAGGTTTATTATCATCGTCATCATCATCATCATCATCATCATCATCATCTCTGTTGTTTTATTCAACCCAATTTTACAGAAGCAGGGCCA